GTACGGAATCAGAAAAGACCCCTAATAGCCAGAGGAATGTTGAAAAAGAAAAGCAAAGCTGACGGCATCACAATTCCGGACTTCAAGCTCTATTAAAAAGCTGTGATCATCAAGACAGTATGGTACTGGCACAAAAACAGACACATAGATCAATGGAACAGAATAGAGAGCCCAGAAATAGACCTTCAACTCTATGGTCAACTCATCTTTGACAAAGCAGGAAAGAATGTCCAATGGAAAAAAGACAGTCTCTTCAACAAATGGGTTTGAGAAAATTGGACAGCCACATGCAGAAGAATGAAACTAGACCATTTCCTTACACACACAAAAATAGGCTCAAAATGGTTGAAAGACCTAAATGTGAGACAGGAGTCCATCAAAATCCTAAAGGAGAACACAGGCAGCCACCTCTTCGACCTCAGCTGCAGCAACTTCTTCCTTGGAACATCACCAAAGGCAAGGGAAGCAAGGGCAAAAATGAATATTGGGACTTCATCAAGATAAAAAGCTTTTGAACAGCAAAAGAAACAGTCAACAAAACCAAAAGACAACCGACAGAATGGAAGAAGATATTTGCAAATGACATATCAGATAAAGGGCTAGTATCCAAAATCTATAAAGAACTCATCAAACTCATGATCCAATCCAAACAAATGATCCAATCAAGAAATGGGCAGAAGACATGAACAGACATTTTTCCAAAGAAGACATCCAAATGGCCACAGACACATGAAAAAGTGCTCAACAGGGGTGCCTGGGTGACTCAGTTGGTTAAGCGACTGCCTTTGGCTCAGGTAATGATCCTGGAGTCCCAGGATCGAGTTCCGCATCGGGCTTCCTGCTCAGCAGGGAGTCTGCTTCTCCCTCTGACCCTCCTCCCTCTCATATGCTCTCTCTCTCTCTCATTCTCACTCTCTCAAATAAATAAATAAAATCTTAAAAAAAAAAAAAAAGAAAAAGTGCTCAACATCGCTGGGCATCAGGGAAATCCAAATCAAAACCTCAATGAGATACCACCTCACACCAGTCAGAATGGCTAAAATTAACCAGTCAGGAAACGACAGATTTTGGCGGGGATGGGGAGAAAAGGGAACCCTCCTACACTGTTGGTGGGAATGATCCAGCAATTACACTACTGGGTATTTACCCCAAAGTTACAAATGTAGGGATCCGAAGGGGTACGTGCATCCTGATGTTTATAGCAGCAATGTCCACAATAGCCAAACTGTGGAAAGAGCCAAGATGTCCATCAACAGATGAATGGTTAAAGAAGATGTGGTATATATATATATATATATATATATACACACACACACACACACACACACACACACACAATGGAATATTATGCGGCCATCAAAAGGAATGAGAGCTTGCTATTTGCAACGACTTGGATGGAACTAGAGGGTGTTATGCTGAGCGAAATAAGTCAATCAGAGAAAGACATGTATCATATGACCTCACTGATATGAGGAATTCTTAATCACAGGAAACAAACTGAGGGTTCCTGGAGTGGTGGTGGGTGGGGGGGATGGGGTGGCTGGGTGATAGACATTGGGGCGGGTATGGGCTATGGTGAGCGCTGTGATTTGTGCAAGACTGTTGAATCACAGATCTGTACCTCTGAAACAATACAATATATGTTAAAAAAAAAAAAAGAAGAAGAAGAAGATAGCAGGAGGGGAAGAATGAAGTGGGCAGGGAATCGGAGGGGGAGATGAACCATGAGAGACGATGGACTCTGAAAAACAATCTGAGGGTTCTAGAGGGGAGGGGTGTAGGAGGATGGGTTAACCTGGTGATGGGTATTAAAGAGGGCACATTCTGCATGGAGCACTGGGTGTTATATACAAACAATGAATTGTGGAATACTCACTACATCAAAAACTAATGATGTAATGTATGGTGTTTAACATAACAATAAAAAAATTTTAAAAAAAAGAATACAAGCAGTTTTTACAGAGTTCCATACTATTAAGGGGAAAAGTAGACAAAAAAATGTCAAGCAAGCCAATAATTGATAAAGAGGGAGAAAGAGAGACAGAGAAAGAGAGAATAGAAGCACCAAGAAAACATGATAAATAGAATATACAAAATAAGCCACTGCAAATTTACTAGTAATCTCAGTAACTGTGAATAGGTTAGATCTCCCATTAAAAGACCAATGATGGGTATTAAGGAGGGCACGTACTGCATGGAGCACTGGGTGGTTATACGAAAACAATGGATCGTGGATCACCACATCAAAAACCAATGATGTATTGTATGGTGACTAACATAACATAATAAAATCAAAAAAATAAATAAAAGACAATCTTTTGATTGGATAAAAGGGGAGGGGGGAAAGATAGTGAAATCCAGCTTTGTTTTTTGCAAGAGAAAAACAAGGAGACAAGAGGAAGCTGAAAATATTTTAAGTGTTTAAAAATTAAAAAGCATTCATCAAATGCAACCAATTAATCAGGTATATCAGTTACAGTAGTTTGACAAAATATGATATGAACATGTTCAGAAAGTTCTATTTCATGTTGGTAAAGGATCTGCCAAATACACATCAATCCCTTAACCATACAGTTTTAAGTAGAAAGCAAAAGCGATAGAAATACGAGGGGGTCAGCAAAGCCTCATCACCGTGAGAGACAACAATTTGGACAAAGTCCATGGATGAGCCAGAGCCTGCATGCAACACACTCGCCATGACCAGAGAAGGTGGGCTCAGATACCCAGGGGTCAGCTACTTGGGGGTGCAGATGATTGTTTTGACAAGGAAGTGAAACACCTGATTTGTAATATAACCTTTTGGGGAAAGGAAGACACAATTATTTGCTTCTACCTCACAAATTTCATTATTTTCGTGTGATGTTTGAAAGTAGAAGGATCTCTACAGCACAGAAGGCACTGACCCAGTTTAGGACGTTATGCTATGAATTATGTGGACAGGCATAAAACATGAAGTGGAAGAGATAAGCAGTGCTTTGCAGGAAGAGGTTGCAAGAGCATGATACAGAGCGTGTTGGTCCTCAGCCAAGCTCAGCAGAAATAGAGGTCTGTCTTCTGTAAGCGAGGTCCAGGAAGTTACAGATGGCAGTGAGGACAAATGGCCCCTGAGCATCTCAAACTAAAGCTGAGATGCGTGAATGGCGACCCAATGACCTTGGCCACATCTGAGTCATCCTCCACCCCCCTCTTCTCTCTCTCTCTCTCTCTCTCTTCCTTCTTCTGTCTCCTTCCCCTCCTTTTTCTCTCTGTGTTTCTTCCATTTCGTCTTTCCTTTCTTCCATTCCTTCCTCTCTCTCTCTGTCCTCCTCCCTTCCTGCTTTCCTTCCCTGCTTCCTTCTTCCTTCCTTCCTTCCTTCCTTCCTTCCTTCCTTCCTTCCTTCCTTCCTTCCTTCCTTCCTTCCTTCCTTTCTTCCTTCCTTCCTTCCTTCCTTCCTTCCTTCCTTCCTTCCTTCCTTCTTCCTTCCTACTGTACAGTTGAATTCTATGGACCAGTTTTCAACCACAGGAGAAGATCAACATCCAAGTCAATGATGACAGACTTCACATAAAACCCCAGCAAAAAGATTTCGGGGGCGGGGTGGGGAAGCAGCTCATGGTGCCGCGGTTTGGGTGCCAGGAGGCTCAGGTGAGGACCTGCATGTGCAGCCCCGTGAAGAGCATTCTGTCAAGTCAGGCTCCCCGGGGGTGGTTGCCAGCCTCAGGGGTTATCCTGCTCTTTCATTTCTTCACTGCACTTTGCTCACCTTTTCACCACTTACCTGTCCATCATTTCCTCTGCAACAGATGACCTGGGGGGCCTAGGGAAGCTGTGAAGGGCTAATTGAGGCTTCGAGTTTGCAGGTTTATTATCTGTGCCCTGTCTCCGCTTACTGAATATATTTAGAAGTCAGCTGAGAACTTGATATGTTCGTTTGATTTGTGTTAAACTCCATGGCAGGTGAGTCTTGTATTTTAATCTACATGTCTGCTATAAATGGACTTTTTATTGAGCAGTAAATATAACTCTATGAATTGAATTTCTTTGTAAATGATTCATATTTGAAAGATGTATCTAATATTTGTTATTTTAGTTAGCAGGTAGCAAAAGTCACCAAGAGGAGTTTAAATTTGGCAATTTTGTTCATGGGCTTTTCCTTAATTAGGAAACACTGGCCTCAGGTTTTTCAATATGAAAGAGAAGCCTGTTAAAATTGTGGTGTGTGTGTGTGTGTGTGTGTGTGTGTTGGGAGGCAGCCATGGCTGTTCATATTAAGATAGAATTTCCAAATGTATTTCGTTAGTGACTGGACTGCTAAAAGGATCAGCTTTATTTAACCGTAAGCAATGAATGGTTATCGGAAGTGTCTTGTCCCTTAGCATGACAGCAGGGCACTTTCTCCTCCCCAGGCCCTGTTCTCACCAGGCACGCAGTCTGAGAGGCAGGCCGACTCAAATCAGACCACCTGCTGCCCGGGCCTCCAGGCACAGTGAGATTCGCGCAGCCAAGCAATGAGGGATGTGGTCTGCCTGTGTAATTAGCTAAACGAACGGAAAAGGCTTTGCTGACAAAGTGGCGACAAGTGGTCCTATGATAATTACAGAACGGTGTTTCCACATCACACCAATTGGACATGTTTAATCCTGCACCAGGTGCCCCCCATGCAATTAAAACAATGCAGGGAATTAAACGGGCAGAGAGGCATGGGGGAGTAGACTCAGACCAGAAGACAAATCTGGAAGCATTGAGTCCAGCCTGGCTGGGTTCAGCAGCCGGGACACAGGACATAGTGCAGCCCAGTCCCTCGGAATGTCCTTGCCCCGTGGACAGGGCCTCGTCCCAACCTAGGTGCCCTGGACTTAGTGTCACTACCAGTAGGTAAAGATGCAGAAATGGGGCAGACAAGGTACTTCTTTAAGCAACTCTTTGAGGAGGGAAACGGTTATGTTTAATGACCATGAATTCAAGTTCTGCCATGTATTTAGAGTTGTTATGAAATGTATTAAAACAAATTGACAACAAATGCATTCCAGAGTTTATTAGGTTAGGCATGTGACATAAAACACAAAGGACAACAAGCAGGCTACTCATTGAGGCGGACCTGAGATGCCTCTTGGTTTCTCAGAGTCGTAAGGCCGATGCAGCGGCCAAGCCTGTCCTCCCCGCCCTGGGAAACAGTTGTGCCCAGGACAGAAAGAAGCCCTACAGAGAAATCCCACAATGGCAGAATTAGTGGACCACCTTTCAAATCCACAGATTTAAAAATACTTACATTCTCATCTAGCTCTCGTGCAGTGATGATTGACATTTACAGTCACATCAAGTATCACAAAACAAGGCCTTGTGAATGACCTAATTCAAGCTTCAGCCAAATATGAGTAAAGTACCCAGCCTGGAAGAACGGTGGGCAAAATGTGCAGAAAGGAAATGCTTGCCCCCTTGCAGATAAGGGGAACAATGTAAGACAGAATTTCCAGAGTTTCTTCCTAAAACAGATGGGCATGATCTCCGAGAACAGGTCAAAACACAATTCATTTTTTTTACAGCACTTCAGTGAGCATTAGTTTCAGGAATCTGGAACAGAATATGGTATTTGATTATAGAATACATGGAGAATTTTGATTATCAGCTTTTTTTTTTTTTTTGGTTGACAAACACCACAAACCACACAGACATAGCAGTAGGTTTTGCAGCAGATAGGGATAGATGTTTTCAGGGATCATATCTCAGATTCCCATGCTAAATCTATTGTTTAAGGTGATGGAAATATGGAGAGGACATTACACCATTTTGCAGCTGCTAGAAAGCCATGCTTTCCTGTTTTCCTGATTCAGACAATGGAGAAGCTAAGGAGAAAAATAATAGGAAAAGGCTGTCCTATATTTGCTTTTAAAAACTGCATTATTTTGAATGTAGTACATTTTTTAGGTCAAATCTTGCCTCTGTTCTCTTAGTTTTCACAGGAATATTTGTGGGAAAGAGGGCTGGAATAAAATTAGCTAGTGATCACGTCCATATTCTCCAAAGGTTTTTCGGTGATAAAACTCCAGGTCCTATCAGGATGTGTTCAAACAGGGGCTCCTGAATGGAACGTAAGAATAGCAACACGCACGTGTGTGTTTCAGGGAGAGAGATTCATTTCCAACTTAGTTCTTCCTATACTATGTACATAAACACGTTCGCATACGTGTTTAACTTTTTATTCCACCTTTTTGCCTAATCACAGGGAGGGTGTTAGCCTGCATCTCTCCTGTCCTTAAGAAGAAACCCACTTGAGTCACTCACTTTATGCTGCCCAGAAAACACCATGCGGCTGTGTAGCACCAGATATCACGGTTATGATAATCAGGCATGAGGGTGAACCAAAGGGACACCAGCCACAGTGTTGAGCAGCGGTGGGTGCACCCTACAAAAAGCCCCACCGGGTCCGCCACTCTCAAGGCATTTTCGGATAATTGCCCCACCTTTGCTTTATACACTCCTCAGATTCTGGGGCGGGGCTTGCTCTGCATCACTGTGCAAATGAACAAGAGCAAAGAGCAGGGAGCATCCCTGAAATTCAGGAAGGGGCATAGTGGGCTGCATCCTCCCCTTCAATGATCCACCTTGGAGGGAGGGGACGGGACGGAGTGGGTTTGTTCTGAATACAGTTTTTCTAAGTGCATCCTAGAATTATTGAAGTATGGGAAATTCTATTTGGACAAAAGTCTCCATTGTCTTAGAGCTCGCTGCCAAGTGAAGCTGTCTCGCTTTCCCTATCGCCCTGGCCATTCTGCTGCTCGGCAGCTCAGGGACAGAACGGTGCCTGGTATGCCCCTGCCCAGCCCAGGGACACTGTTGGAGGAGTCTGTACATGGCAGAGCCTACCTCTCCCATGCTCCATCCCTTCCATTTCTCAGTCTGTGTCATGGCCCAGGCACCTGGGGAGCTTCTGGATAAAAGGATTGTTGGCCAATGGCCACACAGCCAGTGGGCATTTGTGTATCCACTGCCGTGGGCCCCCATCTCCCCAAACAAGGATTCACATCCCTCAGACAAAATGACAGAGGTATATCAGCCCATTTCTCCCCTTGCATGTTTCACAGTGGGAATCTGTGGTCTTCATGCTGTCGGGATAGGGCGTTTTACCCACGGAGGGATTCAAACATAGAAGCACCGAAGAAGGAATCCGACTCTAAAAATGAGCGGGCACACTTGGGGACCTCAGCCAGTACAAGGTCCCACAGGTCCCCAGAGGGGCTTAGGGGAAGCCTAGAACAGGAATGTCTCCTTCCTTCTAGTGACAAGGTAGAATCGTAAAAGCCTGGAGCTAAAGCTGTTGAATTTGCATTTATTTCATGTAAGTGCCGATATTGTCAGCAACGCATCTGGCCAACTCTTTAAAATCATCTGAATAGTGGCATGGTTGGTTCCCACACAACAGATGGCCAAGGGTCCTATGGCCAGTGGATACAACCTTTGCCTCCTTGGGTGTTAAGCACCAGTATTTCAACTGAGGTCTTTAAAAAGCAGAAGTTCCAAATACTGTGCTAAGTCCTCCAAAACCTTCATCTTTCCTTACACCCACTCCTTCAGTTACCCATTTCCTTAAAAACAAAACAAAACAAAACAAAACCCCTGAAATATAGCATCTACATTTCAAAAATATCTAAAGTGTATTTATTTAACTCTGAGGGCCGTGCACCTGGCAGCTCCTCGTGCCCCAGGTGTCCGCCTCTGGGACAGATGTGTTTCTAAGGCAAAACCAGAAACAGTAGGGCACCCTGGTTCTGACAGGCAGGTTTTGGAATCCCTAGAAGAAAACACACTCCCGTTCTGTTCTACAAGGTGACAGCAACAAGCCTGCAGATGACCTGAGGTCTCCCGGTGCTAGTCAGGCAGTTTTTAACAGCTCTGACCGTTGGTGAATCCCTGAGCTGCTTTCCAGTGACCCAGGCAGAACTGCGTGGGGAGAGAGTACTCTCTACCACTACATAGGGAAGGGAAACCTTTGCAAGTGAGCATTTAAAAATAAATTAAAATTGCTTTGAGTGGTTTTTGTGGTTGCAAAAGATTTGAGCTATTCTCTTTTTTTCTCTCCCTCCCATCTCCCCCACTTTTTTTAAGAAATAGAGAAAAATGTGACAAACGTTCTTCAAGCAGAAAGGGGACAGCGTCCTGCCTGCCCGGTCCCTTTCTTGCAAGCGACAGCCACAAGACAGGATCGTGTTCTCAAGAAGCAATACCAGCTGTGAGCTAGGTTAAGATGCCTTACGATGCCGGCTTTCAAAACTCAGCAGCTCATCCCCCTCACACAGCCTTAATAATCAGAATGAGAGACTTCTCAGGGCTCCGTCCATCTAGGATCAGAGCATTTAAATCCAGAACAGCACGCAGGGAAGGCAGGTGGCATGGGAGGTGTCTCGGGGCTGCACTCACCCAGAGACGAGATGTCTCCAGCTTTTATCCTTGTGTGCGTTCACCTCATCAATAGTCAGTGTGTGTTAATGCAAGTGCATTTAGATGGATTGATTCAAGTATTTGTGGAACAAACCCCAGGTTTCTCTCTCAAGCTCTTTGGAGTACGTGCTTTCAAAAAAGCTTTCAACTCACTTTATACTTCTCCCACACTTTCCAGACTTCACTTGCAAATAAACCCAAGACTATTAGAGACACTAAGAACTAGGAAATGCAATTTCTAAACTTCCAGCATCCTTGCTACCTAAACAGATCAGTGTACTCTGGTCTTTCTGCAGGACTCCAACTATAAAGCTCAGCAGGGCTTGTGATGGGAAAATGCATGAACGCAAATGTAAAGAGATGTTTCCAGTCCTGAATATGTTCCTTTTGACCAAAAAAAAAAAAAAAAAAAAAAGCTTCTTACGTAATTTAACAATTGATTTAGTCTCTGTTCTACCAAGAGGAACGAAACATTCCAATCCTAATTAGCATTAGCAGACCACCCTTTCTTCTTAGATGATTCCAGTGAGCAGAGAAGCAGTTCAAAAGGAGTTCCATTAGCACCTGACTTGTAAGCCCTTGATCCAGAACCAGCGGCAGACATGAAATCAGTCACATTTGAATTTGACAAGATAAGTGAGTGAGAATTGTTAATATTCACAAAATTCCCAAAATGACATCCCAACCCATTGCATCCACTTCAAGAATACCACACACACGTAGAAAATACCTGTATATTCCAAGTGGCCAGGCCTTTAAGAATGTGTACAACTGTTTGCTAAGATTCCAGTCCAGTCTTTTGGAAGGATGTGCCCCCCCGCCCTCCGACGGGGTGTGTAAAGCTCTGAGGATGGTGGTAGCCAATTGTCAGTGTCTCTGGGGCCGTTTCACCTTCAGCAGTCCGTCCCCGGCGTCGGACTACAGAAAACAACCAGGACAGCATTGGAAGCTGCTGTGACCCGCCAAGCACATCTAGACCCCAGGAGAGGCCCACGTGCTCTATGTCCCCGGCAGGGCGACAGCCCTTAGTGAGTGCCCCTGGGCTGACAGCCTGGACAACACCTGCCCCTTGTACTCCGCCTGCTTTGTGTGCCGGTCCTTGCCCTCCCACCTCCCCGCAACTGCCCACCCTCCCACCCCCTCTGGGTGACCTGAGGCCTCCTTTACCTGTACTGATTCTCCAAAGCCCTGCTCTCAGCTCACTCTGGAGCCCAGGAGTAGCTGTCAGCTGCGTTCTGGGGCTTTTTCTCCTTCTCCTTCTCTCTCTTTGCTCTCCGCTTGCGGTAGACCAGTAGCCCTAGAGCCAGAGCCAGTAAGAGTAAGATGGCCACCACGGTGCCCAGGATGTAGAACAACAGCAGCTTTTGTCCGTCGGTGCCCTCATCGCTTTGTTTGGCGGTGAAATCCTCCTCTGTATTCTCCCGACGGCCAGGGGTGACCATGGGGTGATGGGTGCTGGGCTCCATCCAGACACCAGGGGGCCCACTGGGAGCCGGCATGTGGGGTGCGGCCAGGGTGACGGGGGCGTTGTGTGGGAGGGAGGGTCCCTTTGCGGTGGGTGCCTCCTTGGAGGTGCCCTCAGGGTCCCTGGTGGGCCTGGACATTGTGGCAGAATGCACGAGTTTCCCCTCTCTATCTCCTGCATCCTCCCCCTGGGGAGGCCCAGACAGTGGGGCCAGGGATGTGGGGCCCGGGGTGCACGAGACCCCGTCCAGGCCCAGCTCCCAGCCCGGCAGGCAGCCGCAGCGGAAGGAGCCCTGCGTGTTGAGGCACAAGCTATCACAAAGGCTGTTCTCCGTGTCCGCACACTCATCCACGTCCTGGCACTCGGTGCCTTCCGCCCCGGCCAGAACATAGCCCTTCTCGCAGGAGCAGTAGAAGGAGCCGTCGGTGTTGGTGCACTCCTGGGCGCAGGGCGAGCGGCCCGGGACACACTCGTCCACATCCCGACAGGTCCCCTCCCCGGGGCCGCCGGGCTCGTAGCCCACCCAGCACTCACAGCGGAAGCCCCCAGGGGCGTTGACACAGGCCTGCGGGCAGGGGGAGTCCTGGCACTCGTCCATGTCCATGCAGTCCCGCTGACTTGAGTCCAGCTGGTAGCCCTGGGGGCAGCGGCATGTGTAATTCTTCCCGTGGGGTGCCGGGACACAGGTGGCTGCCCCCCGGCACGGGCTGGAGCTGCAAGGGTCCCGGGAGGCACAGGTCACCAGGTCGTCGAGCAGCCGGAAGCCCGGCCGGCAGCCGCAGCGGAAGGAGCCGTCACCCCCCTCGAAGCAGTCCTGCTGGCAGCCCCCGTTGTTGAAGCTGCACCCATACTGGGGGCTGATGCAGAGGGGGCCCGAGCTGCCCCAGTCGAACACATCGGGGGCCTTCTCCCTGCACATGAAGTAATCCTCCTGACCAGCTTCCCCGGCCCCACAGACCACAGTAGCCGCAGAGCCGAAGGGCACGGCCTCCAGGGAAGAGCTGGTGGCATTGAACGGGGTCGTGTAGTTCACCCGGCCTGGGCCCCCCAGAGCCAGAGGCTGGCACATGCCTTTGAAACTGAACTTGCACACAAAGCCCTCGATGTTGCTTCCCGGAGAGCCCGGGCTCCCGCAGGGGCCCTCGGACCACTTGGGGAGGTGGCTGGCATGGGACGGCTGGGACAGATAGAGCAGCAGGGACACACAGCGCCTGGAGATGCAAGAGCTCCTGACCTCCTTGTTCCAGTTGGTGTAAAGCGTGTCCTCCCCACCGCCCACCCAGCTGAAGCCTTTCAGCGGCAGGCTGGGGTCCAAGCACTTGGCCTTCTCGCGCTGGAGCCCGATCCAGAACTTGCCCATCCGAGCTGCCAGGGGCGCCTCCGACTCCAGGAGCTGGGTGAGGGCTCGCTGGGTGTGCCGGGCCTCCTCCTCAGTCCTCACCGTGGCCAGGTTGCCGCCGTTCCTGCTGCAGTGAAGCTGGGCCTCGGCCGCACTCAGCTTGCCCCAGTGCGCAGTGTAGCAGGCCCTGCCCGCGCACACCGCGGCCTCCCTGTGAGCGCCGGCCCCTGCCCGGGGCTGGCCCAGAAGCAGCCTCAGCAGCAGCAGCAGCGGCAGCCCAGCGCAGGTGGCCATGATGGCGCCGCGTCCCTCCCGGCGGGAGGCTGGTGGCCCTGCGGTGACAGCCGCAGGCGAGCTGAGCTCCGAGGAGAACCGAGGGCTCAGACGCAGACGCTCTGGCCCAGGGAGGAACACAAAGACTGAGGGCTTTCACATCCCCCTGACCCAAGGCGCATCCTGTACTGTTGTACTTCTTACTTCTTACCGGATACTGGGGCTTCCTGCAGTGAATAGTGTTCTGACTCCTGTCGCCTTCATCACGGTTTTGTTGTTCATAGAAGAGGTCAGACGGCTGCGCTGGGTCTCTGGCTAATCTCTGGGGAAATGTAGCAGCGTGAGGGGCAGGCAGTTCCAGCTCAGAGACGCCCGCCGCTTTATTTGGGCTCCCTTGTCTTTCCCATCTGCAGGACGAACTTAAATGGCAAGCTACAGAGTGAGTGGAGACTTTGGGGGACTAGGAACTTGAAAAAGCTCACTTAGTAACCCATAATAAAATTCCACTTTGGTTTGCAAACAATCAGAAGGAAAAAAAAAATTCTCAGACTTGAGACATGAGGCCACGGATGGTTATAATTTTCAGCCTTTTTTAGAAGCAAACTGGATTTTTCTTCTGCCTATCTCATGTTCCCTTTGGCTTTGGAAGTCTTTTTTCTTTTATCCCCTCATCGTGAACTTTAAATAGATGGGCAATTTTTAAATAGGAACTGGGCCGTGGGAATGACGGATTGTCTAACACAATGCCAAGCTCCTAAAGAGTATTAAACCAAATGGGATGGAATTTGGCAGTTTTCAGGGTTTCACAGTGCAAATACTGTGTTATGAGGTGGCAGTGTCACAAAAAGCATCAGAAAGAAAAGAGGAAAATGTTTCTGGCCTCATGGCCCTGAACTTGCATTCCCGACTCCCCCGGCTCAGGGTTAGCAGGAAGGGCCGGAGTTCTGAGAATCCCGGCCACAGCAGGCCCCTTCCTCCCAGCAGCTCATCAAAGGCCCTTGAAGCAAAGGGTGCTTTTCCTGAAGTCGCAGATGTGTTAGTCATCGGAACTGTCTTCCCCCAGAAGTAGACCCTGAGACACAGATTTGAGACAAGTCATTTATTCGAGAGGAGAAGTCAGACAGGAATGGGGGAAACCAACAGAGGGTACCTGAGTGCGCAGTAACACTGAGGCTCCTGGAGCATGGTCCCGAGGGAATACTCTCAGTTTTCTGAGCCAAGGAGACAGGGCTGTGGCAGCTCTCTTCCAGCTACCCTCCTATTGGAAGCGGCAAATTCTTGATACTCTGGGCTGACAGTGAGAACCTAGTTCACCAGAAGGAACACGCAGGAGGACAATGGCCGGCAGCTACCAAGGGGCTATGGGCATGGCACCCGTGTCTGCTACATCGGCTCTCCACAGAGATTTGAGTTAGGGTGTCATGGGGGTTATGAACTCACTAGTTTTCAGCCTCCCCAAGGCATAAGGTGCCCATCTCAGACTCTAGTTGGAGACCCTTCAGAGGTGTCCTTTATGTTCTTCTTATTTTAATAAGATATTTGAGATAGTCCAGGAATCCTCTCTCAGAACCCCTAGCATCCCCCTGTGCTCTTTGGTGCCATCTATCCACCCACTCACCTCTCCATCCATCCATCCATCCACCCATCCATCCATCCACCCATCCATCCATCCATCTATTCATCTATCCACTCATCCATCTAACCACCCACTCACCTCTCCATCCATCCACCCATCCATCCCTCCATCCATCCATCCATCCGTCCATTCACCCATCCATCTATCCACCCACTCACCTATCTATCCATGCATTTATCCATTCATCCAGCCAGTCAATCAGCCAGCAAGCCAGCCAGTCAATGTTATTTAAGTCTCTACCATGCACTGGGCTAGGCACTGGGATTAAAGGAGGGAACTCCTGCCTTCATGACCCTTGAAGTCTGTTAGAGTGGACAGATTTGAACATGTTGGACAGTTGTAGCTATGATAGATACTACAGGGAGAAGTTGAGGGTGTCAGCAGAGGTACTGCCCTGGTTGGGACATGAGCAGTAGGACTGGCTCCTCTGATGGAGAATGCCAACAAAGCTGGAATCTAAAGGAGGAATAGTTAAGAAGGAGAATGATTTCCATATGAGGGAACAGCACAGACAGAGGCCCTGTGGTGTGAGGGTTGTGACCTTTATAAGGGTGTGAAGGACAGACCATGAGACTGGAGCCTGAAAAATGGGAGGGAAGACCCAGGGAAAGAGGAGCTCTGTGAGCCCAAACAATAAAGATTTAGGGTTTTGTTCTGAAATCCATGGGGAAACACCCAGGGGCCAACCTGCTGAGACTGCATGTAGAGGATTGGAGAGCAGGCTAAAGGGCCCCAGTAGTATGGGGGAGTCACTCAGCAGGCAACTGCAGGTTTGCAGGCACAGATGACAGTGACTTGAGCTGGGCTGGTCCCCTGGATTAGGGACAGCAGATTCAGGAAATGATATGGGTCTAGAACAGGATGTTCTTGGCATTGGTGGAGTAAGAGTGGAGGACATGGGAAGTATGCAGAAGGACTTCATCGCTCTCTGCTTATACCAGCAAGGGTTGGGGATCCTGGAAGGCTGTGTTCACTGGAGGTAGAGAAATGGGGCTGGACCAGAGAACAATTGGAGAGAGTCTGCCTCTTGGGGCTGAGGATCTCCCTGCTTCCTTAGGACTCTGAATTCACCCCCTTGGAAAACTGGGGAAGTAGCCAGGTTCAAGGGATCCTGGGAAGGCTGGAGTCCTGGCTACAGGACACTGTAGCTAGGTGAATATTTAGCCTTGGTGAGAGGGTCAGTGTTGACTTCTTCCTGGGAGAAGAAGCTGCATTTCTAAAGCTTTATTTACAGGCCAGCGACTTCTTAACATTTTATAAACTCAATCTGATGATGTTGGCCTTGATTTGCTGTACAACCTGGCATACACTCATAGCACAGAATCTTCCTCCTGATTTAGCCTCCTGTCTGTGTAGCCCAGAGCTAGATTCCTCAATTAACTGGTGTGATCATGCAGGATTCACCCAGCATCCTGCTTGGTTGGTGCTTAAGGAGGTGGGCTGAATGAGTGACTTACAGCTTATGAACCAGTCTGACCCCCAGATCTTTGTCAGGGTATTCTTTTGCTGGCAGCTCTTCATCTTTCACGTGGGAACTTCCAAATCAACTCCTCTTCACTTAGCCAAGTGTTGACATCATAAAGAAGAAAATGAAGCAAGGAAATGTGCTGAGTTTATTCATTCATTAACCCAGGGAATATTGTAAAGCACCAATGGCAAGAAAGACCATGTACAGTGCAAGAAGCTCCCAGCTCTTAAATTTATGGATCCTACTTCATTATCTCCAGTAACCTGGTTATCTAAGCCTTGTTCTTCCTCCCCTTCATCTGTAAATAAGGACATGGGAACCAGCGCCTCTGGATGCCTTTCTTAATCTAGTGTCAACAACAGTGAACTCATGTAATTACATATCTTTCCCTCTTCTGGAACTGGAGAGAAAGCAGACCAGTGAGAGAGCAGGACCAGAGACCACTGCTGCCCTCACGGTGCAGCAGAAGGAACCAAACCAGCTGTCTAAACCACATGGGTGCAGTTGGCCTCATACTGACCCAATGACTGTTAAATACAGCGCAGTTTCTCTATTGATTATCTCCCCTCCCCTTGTGCCTCCCAATTTCTGACTTCCACTCTGATCCTTGATCCTTCAGTCACCACTGGCTGAGCTTGGCTGAGTTAACTCTCGCAGGACCTGATGGCCTGAGGTCTCTAGCTCCAGGGATTCTGCTGTCCTCTTCCACCCATAAGGAGGTGGCACAAGCATTTAGGGGGTGGATTTGGGGGCATGATGTTTTGTGAGCTCAGCGGAAGAAGTAGAGCTTACTTTTACCAGGTGGGATTTAGCTGAGTTCACAAAGTATTGGAAATTGTTTGGATGCTGACTTGGAGGAAATTCTGAACCTCATGTACTGAGTTCCTCCTTGGATGACAAGTTATCACCTTTTACTTAGAACATAGATTTTATCAAACCTCTCTGAAGATTGATAGTTAAAAAACAGGAATCAGCAGCGGGGAGACCAGAGAGCTTTCCTTGGCAGATTTTTTAATGCAAGTCACATTAAATGTTCTAGAACAATCATAATCCTATTAGCATGGTGTAAGCCCTGAGCCATGACCCCAAACTGTCTACTTTTATTCTGTACTCATTTATCAATGAGTACTGAGCTTTCTTTTTAAATTGTCTAAAAATTTACTTCTATATGAAGCAAATATTTAACAAATATTGTTAAAATATCTATACTACACAAAGCAATCTACACATTCAATGCAATCCCTATCAAAATAACACCAGCATTTTTCACCAAGCTAGAACAAACAATTTTAAAATTTGTATGGATTCAGAAAAGACTCCAAATAGGCAAAGTAATGTTGAAAAAGAAAAGCAAAGTGGGAAGCATCATAATTTTGGACTTTGAGTTATATTACGAAGCTGTAATTATCAAGACAGTATGGTACTGGCACAAAAACAGACATATAGATCCATGGAACAGAATAGAAAACCTAGAAATGGACCCTCAACTCTATGGTCAATTAATCATCCACAAAGCAGGAGAGAATATCTAGTGGAAAAAAGACAATCTCTTCAATGAATGGTGCTGGGAAACCTGGACAGCCACACACAGAAGAATGAAACTAGACCACTTTCTTACACTATACACAAAAATAAATTCAAAATGGATGAAAGACCTAAATGTAAGACAGGAATCTATCAAAATCCTAGAGGAGAACACAGGCAACAATCTCTTGACCTCGGCCCTAGCAACTTCTTACTAGACACATCACCAGAGGCAAAGGAAACAAAAGCAAAAACAAACTACTGGGACTTCATCAAGATAAAAACCTTCTGCATAGCAAAGGAAACAATCAACAAAACTAAAAAGCTGCCTACGGAATGGGAGAAGATATTTGCAAATGACATATCAGATAAAGGGTTAGTATCCAAAATCTATAAAGAACTTACCAAACTTAACACCCAAAAACCAAAAAATCCAGTCAAGAAATGGGCAGAAGACATGAATAGACACTTTTCCAAAGAAGATATCCAAATGGCCAACAGACACATGAAAAGATGCTCAACATCATTCGGCATCAGGAAAATACAAGTCAAAACCACAGTGAGGTACCACCTCATACCTGTCAGAATGGGTAAAATTAACAACTCAGGAAACAACAGATGTTGGCGAGGATGCGGAGAAAGGGGAACACTCCTACACTGTTGGTGG